AATAAATGCTTCATCTAAACTGACTGGTTCCCTTTTAACTGCTGTGAACAGAAGCAGCACGACATCAAGTACAATGCATTTCTGCAAGATGAACAGCAGTGCTTTTAACTGGGCCAAAATGCACTGCACAGACCACTTCCACAAACAGTAACTTGAAAGAACGAGGTGTGCAACACTGAGCAGGACTGTCTGGTCACGTGAAATAGCTGACATGTGGGCAATGCTGCTTGAGTCACTTCTGCATTCACAATAAAAAAACAGGCAGGACCAACTACCCTGCCCACAGCACTCAGGCAGGAAATTAATTGAGGGAAACCACCTTTGATCAGAAGGGTGCAGGCTATACTGAGTGAGTTGGTCATAAGTAAGATCCCCAAACAAATGTGAACACACTCCAAGTTTTCCATGCCTTGAGGCCAAGCAGACAATAAACAGCTGCCTATAGGAAATGGTAATTTTCTGAGCTAAGTAACAGAATGCCATCCCAAAGTGACCAAGGAAAGAGTCACAAATACTCAAATCTACCACACAAAATCTCAGTATTTTAAGAATTCTTAAAACTAAAGACCTGTAAAGTCTTAATTACTATAACTGGTTCTGTTTGTCTTCTATCCCCTTACTCTGCCAAAGCTCACAAACAATTCTCTCATGCTACTAGAACACACACGACTGAGACTATTTGCACCAGAATTCCTGCACCTCGGTGCTCCTCTGGCCACCCAAACACACTCAGTGAGTTCCAGTCACATGATCATATCCACTGACACTCCAGCAGGCACCAGAAGTTAACACAAGAGGATTCAAGAGTTTTTACCTTGTAAATACAGAGTGGTCTTTTTGATCCAATACAATAATAATATCCCCTGGCTCCAGACCTGGCTCTTGGTCCCCTTCACCATGGAATGTTATTTTCTGACCATCCTTCATTCCTATTGCAGAAAACAAATAAACATTTTCCTTATTTTTAAGTGAAAAGCACCAACAAGAAATACTTTTATAGACACAAGCTGGTATCAAGAAATCTCTGGATCTTTAAACAAGAACATCAGAATCTTCCCTTGAAGAATTCTTCTTGTTTTTAATCCACTCACGTGTCCAACCTTAGTGTTGGCTAATCTGAATCAATATTATGGCTGAAGGTCACTAAGCTTAATTGTACTATCAAAACAGCCACCAAGATAAAACTCTTTAAGGGGAATACCATAAAATTTTCATTATACACACAAGTACTAAAAATAAAACAGCAACACTGTGTACAAACTCCATTTTGAGAGCAAGTGACCAATAAGCTATTTCAGTTTTAGAAATACGTGGCACATCTCCTTATGAAACATCATCTCAGTGCCTGCCAAGTTGAAGAAGCACTTCTAGTGGACTGTAATCCTTGTGTCAGACACTCCTTTCACCCACAAAAAAGTGCATCTACCAAAACTTCTAGCTTCCTAATGCTAAATAAGTCTATTTTTCTAGAAAGGAAAAGACACTCTTCTCAGAGATTTTCCTGTTTGAAACATCAGTATTATATCCCTCTTAGTCCTCATATTTACTATTACTGTAGGATTTTCCTTGTTAAAAATAAATTCAGCATTGCACAAGCTATGCTTACACATACAACAGTTGCAGCTGATAATCAGGAGCAAGCCTGTAGAAGCCATGTGTTGTAAGCTTGCTCTGTCTTAGAAGTTGGACTACTCCAGAGACTTCTCCCACCAGCTTTTGAGCAGCCCCCTCAACAGAGGTGCATTTGCCATCCAATACTGCCACGTTCACCCACAATTGTGAGGGTTGGTGTGTGGAGCTGCATTTTGGCAGGCAGGGAAGGAGTACCTACACTGAGCAGCACTGTCAGGGTTGTGCAGCCACCAGAATTCTAAGCACAAGAGGCTTAGCACTGTCTCAGCGCCCTGTTACTGTAGCAGACCTGGTTCCCCTTCACACTGAAACACAGCAGAAGTGATCGGAGTCTGCGGGGTTTCCCGACGGGCAGTGAAACCTGATTAGGCTTCCTGACTATGAAGTGTGCTTACAGTGAGTTCAAAAATAATTAATCTCTTACAATAATACAGGTTCTAAAATTCATCCTTAGTTACGTGCACAGGTTTTAGAAGGGAACATAGAAGTAGTCAACCTTCCCTAGAAAAAAGTCTCCCACTTCAAAAAAGGCAGCAACAGGCAACTTTACTGTATGTGTATTCATCAGTGTTACTCACCAAATAAACACCACGTATTTTCTAAAGCTTCTGTTTTAGAGCTGCAAAGTCAGTCAGTACATCCAAGTTCAACACTTCACCTTAGTAAGACACCTCACCTTTGTCAATGTGCACTTCTAGGATCTTCTTCTCTCTAACAATTTTCCTGCCATTGCAGCTCTTACACCGGTCCTTGGGGCTGATACGCTCTCCGTGCCCCTGACACTCCATGCACACAGACTGGATTTGCTGCACCATTCCTGGCCCGATCTGGTGAATTCTGATCTGCATGCCTGATCCCCTGCAATTAGGGCAGCATTCTACTGCCCCTTTCTTGCCACCACGACCTGACAATGAAATTTGAAGACAGACCGTTATGTGCTGCCAGAAAAAAAACACGTTGACAACTTTAAAAGCAAGTTATGTTTAGTTTCAGTTTCACAGTTACCTTCACATTTGTCACAGATAACGTTTTTCTGCAGTGCAAGTTTCCTCATTGCACCATTGTACATATCTTCTAAACTTACTGACAGTTGGTGGACCACGTTTTTACCTGCAAAAGAAAACAGATATTTAAGTCTGTAAGCTTGGTCTCCAGCTTCCCATGTCTCCATGCTCAAGTCACGACACAATCTTTAGGCTTTAACATTTTGTTTCAACAGAACTTTGTCTTGTTTTGTTGGCATTAGTCAATAGCCCCTTCCCACCTGATTTCAAGGTAGGTAACAATTCTAATGGCTTTGCCCTTAGAAGAGACTTTCTGTGAAAGCAAAAACAGTAACAGAAAGAAAATATACAGAACCTCAGCCATTTAACTTATATAATGAAGGACTCAGTTTTAACAAGGTCACTGAACATGTGTCCTATAAGGAAGTGGGAGACACTGCCTGGAATCTGTGCTCCAGCACTTCTTCCTCTTACCAGGAGACTTTCTGGAAACAGAATTAAGCAATTACATTTTTGCACTCAGGAATTTCTTAGAACTTTAGGTGCTGCAGGCTTAGTTTAGCTCTGGCTTACTAGGAGTATTTTGCTACAACACTATAACACTTTCATACAAATTCTTTTTTCTTCCCTTTGTCACCAGATCTGCACCAAGAGGTGATGGGGTCAGCACTGCTCTTAACCAGTTTAGAATTTTTCCCAGTGTGATTAATCTGGAGCTTAACTGCTGAACAGCGTTTTGCTGCAGCTTCAACTTAACTCCACTGAACAGTGCAGGAAGATAAAAGGTTTCACAGACTGAACTTGATTCCGATATCTTATTTAGATGCAGTTGCTTGCAATTAAACATGAAAGGCACATTCAGGCACTACACTTACAGTAGCAGGGCTAACAAATCACGTTAAGCTACTTAACCCTTATATTTCCTATTCGGCCTATTGACAGCTGGGATTACACTCCGGTAAAGGCTGCCCAAACACAATGACACCTGGTTAGCGATTAACAGGGGACAATGAACGGCAAACCAAACTACCACCGTAGGAAACAAATGTCCTCTCTCCCCTGCAGTCTCAGGCATTAAGGGACAACAGTTTTCTGCGATTTTGAGATTAAGCCCGTAACTTCCCTTTAACTCTCTTTCAATTCTTACATCCAGACTCTGATTTGTCTACCACCGCGGGCACCCAGAGAAACTGTCGGAGAGTCGGCACCTCACCTCGTCTCTCTCTCTGCATCCTCCCTCCGCCGCCGAAGAACATATCGAATATGTCCATGGGGGACCCGAAGCCGCCCCCGGAGCCGCCCTCCTTGATGGCCTGCTCGCCTCCTTTGTCATACAGCTCCCTCTTCTTCGGGTCTGACAGCACCTCGTAGGCTTGGGAGATCTGCTTGAACTGCGCGAGAGACACGGGCACTCGGACATCTGCGGGCCCCCCCGGCGGGACTCCCGCCCCGCTCCCTCCGCCCTGTCCCGCCCCGCCCCGACCTTCTTCGCCCTCATTTGGGTTTCTTGTTCGGGTGGTACTGATGCGCGAGCTTTGCGCGTTAGGCCTTCTTCAAGCTCCTCGGCGGACGCGTGGGCTTTCAAGCCCAGCACGTCGGTAGTAGGTTTGGTTCTCCTTCACCATGATGGCGGCGGCGGCGGGAGGCGGCCGGGGCTGCGGGCGGAGATCCCGCACTTGCGGCGCGCTCCCGACTCTTCTTGGAAAGATTCGGGCCGGTCCCGCGCCCGCCGGCTCTTCGCACCGGCCCGCCCGCCCGCCCGGAAGTCCGCCCCCGCCGCTGGCTGGGCCGGAGCGGGTGCCGCAATGGCTGCTGAGGAGGGGAGCGCGGCTGGCCAATCAGCGCCGCTCTCGCGCCCCTGCGCGCGCGGGCCGCCCCGCCCCGCGCGGGCGGTGACTCCCGCCCTGCCCCGCCGTGCGCATCGCCGGTGCGCGGCCTGCGCGCCGGTCGCGGCCTCGCCCGCCTCAGCGAAGGGCACCGAGCGCACAGGATAGCGCGCCGCCCTGCTCCGCCTTCCGGCGCCGGCTGCTCGCCCTTTCCTGCCCCGTCCTACGCGGGTCTGCCTCGCCGACGCACAGCTGTCGGCGGCCCGGACCGCTCCGCGCCCATTGCGCCTGACGCCAGGCCCGCCGCGTCCACCCCTTAAGCGGCGGGTCGGTGCCGCCTTGCGGCGCGCACGGGCCTCGGCGGCAGCCACCGCTGGTCACGTGGAGGGATGCGCGTGCAGCAGGCGATTGGCGCAGGCGCGCGCCGGTAAGGGGCGGGGTGGGATGGGGGTGCGACCGGGAGTTGCCATGGAAACGGGGCCTGTAGTTGCCAAGGGGATGGGGACCGTGAGGATGGGGCGGGGGGTGACAGTGCCGGTGCTGCACTGGGGACCGAGTCTTGCTTTCCGCCGGCGTGGGCTCACCACAGAGTTGGGAGGAGGAGCGCTCAGCGCCGAGCACCGGGCAGGGGGAGGGTGAGGGATCTTTGCTGTCCAGGGTCGAATGAGTGTAAACCTGAGGGTTTCATAGCATGATCCATGTGCTGACTGTTGCTGGATGAAGCTATCCCCTCTCTCTCATTCTCTCTGCTGCTCTCTTTGTTTTAGCGGTTAAGTTAGTCACTTGAATCAACTCTGGTTCAGTGGGAATCAAATAACTTTCTTTGTAGGTAGGCTTTTCTGTCGGATGGAACCATCAATCCAATTGATTTTTCCTATATATGATCCACGGTTTTGAGAACGTATTGTAACGTAGGAAGGAAAACAGCATTGTCCTTTCAACAGCTACTTGCTCTTAGGTTATGTTGAGTGTTAATGCCGTGCTTTGCCTTGAATTTCAGAAACATGAACCCATTTAGCAGAACTGGGTCAGCTAATGGATGGGCTGGCAGCAAAATTCCTGGACTCTGCTCCACGGGAAGGTGGCCTCTAGGGAAGTGGTGTGTTGGTAACACACTGTTTATTTTGCTCTGTAGCCCAGCCATGCGTGTGTGCTGGCTCGTGGGGAAGGAGAAATGCAGTCAGCGAGTGAAACTGCCACACTTGGAAGCAGTGGTAATTGGGCGTGGCCCAGAGACTGGGATAACGGATAAGAAGTGTTCACGGCAGCAAGGTAAGGTGGCTTAGCCCAAATCCTGCTTTCCACATGCAGCAGCAACCGAACTTACCTCCTTCCTCTGTGTGGTCTGTAGGGTTGCCTGGTTCTTGAAGTCATCAAGCTTTTTCAGTAAGCACTTAGGGAGATCTCTGAGTCCTGAAAAATAAGAGACACCCAAAGACAGGACGTTCACCTTCATAAACTAAAGCACTGAGTATCAGCGTGAGTTCCCAGGCCCACAGTTGTGTTCCACTGCCTGCTTTGTGGGTGGCACTTCTCTCTAGTATTCCACCGGCTCATTTTTGGTATGACTTGTTATTCTGTACATAAAATAACATGCTTTTGGAGAATATATGAAAGTACCTGTGATCTGTAAAATACGGCGCATCTTCCCTGCCTTATTTGTCATCCCTCTGGACACAGTCCTGCTGCATGCCTTATTGTCACAGAGAGCTGGTAAGAACATGTAGAAGACCTCCAAACATTCCACTTTCTTCTGAAGTAATTTTGCTGGTCATGGTGTGGCTCTTTGTGTGGGCTGGTTCTGTTTTACCTGTGGTTCTGGGAGGAGATGAGGCAGAAGTGCTCTTTGCATACATTCACAGCAGTCAGCTTCAGAAGGAAGCAGACCTTCAAACAGAGGAGTATTTTCTGCACTGGGGGGGTTCATCAGAGTTTTTTTTATTTACACTGTTTTGTGACACTTTGTTCTTTCTCTTTTGCCAGTTCAGTTAAAAGCAGATTGTAACAAGGGATATGTCACAGTTAAGCAGGTATGTCTTTATGCGTGGATATACAATATTTATGATACTTACTGGGATGATTGTTGTACTTAACTCCACAAATGCTCCAGCTGATGATTCTGATCACTGATCGCTGGATCTGAAGGACCTGGAGCTGTTTTATCACCAAAGGAGAGCGCAGCAAGTGGTCCTCATAAGTGATCTTTTTCTTTGTGCACCTCAGTGACAGACTGCACTATTCCTTCCAGATATGTGCCAGTCTAAAGACAGACAGACTTGCAGCATCAGGGAATGCTACTGTGAATCCTCCATCAGTTCTTCCAGGTGCTGCATTTGGGAGATTTTGGAGTCCTTCCCCTAAACTTGCTTATCTGCCTCCTGAGCCTTAAACTTCTCAAGCTGAGGCAGCCCTTCCTTTGAGGTTGAAATTCTTGTGTTGGTGGAACCACACAGTTGTGAAAGGTTTTTGTTTTGATGGTTGATAAGAGCCAAAGACATGGTTACAAGGGATAGGATGGATGTGAGGCAGCACTAAAGGCATTCTCATGTTACCAGCTGGATGGATGCAGGGCCACTCCCTCACACTTACGAGGCCCAGCACCAGTCTTGTGAAGCAAGCAGGTACTGCTGTGAAGAAGCTATAGAAATTCTTTGTGGCAGAATTTAACAGTCACAGGAGGGAGCTGGTTTCCCAAAGCCTGCTTCAGGCATAAACATTAACCAAAAGCATTTTTCTGAAGAGTCCCAGTTTTCCTAGGGTCACCCTCACAATGGGGCGAAATCCATCTATCAGGCAGTCACTGTAGGTTGCCCACACCATGTGTGATTGGACTAAAATAATTTGTTAAAACCACTGTCACTGCTCAGAAATAGTTGCTGCTGTGGGATGTGTGGCACGAGTCGTGCTGTAACTCTGTTGTCAGCTTTGCAGACCTGCAGGCTCCCTGTGACACCACGTCCCTGAGGCTGTGTGCTGACAGCTGTGAGTGTAAGACTGGCCATAGACAGCTGGACTTCCCTGGTCCTCTAGAGCGGGTTGATGTGGGCAGGGGGGCAGTGAACACAAAATGCATTTGCTGTCCAGGATGGTGAGTGGTATTCCAGAAGAACGGGGTGGAAGTTGGCGATTCCACTTAAAACATCATTTGCTACTGTTTTTTCCTTTTTCTGTCTACCGAAGATAGGGGTCAACCCAAGTAGTGTTGATCTTGTGAATATTGGCAAGGATGAAGTGGTGAAAATGAAGCCAGGCCAAGTTCTGCATATTGTGAATAATCTTTACCCCTACACGGTGCAATTTGCGGAAGAGTCGGGGAAAACTGTTACAGAAGTGGAAGAGAAAACAGGAACCCACAAGATGCCACACGAGGACTCCTGTGAGAATGATGATGCAGAGCTTGTGCCCAGAAAAACAATGAAGATGGAGGTGATGGATACACAAGGCAGTTCTGCAAATCCCAAGCTAAGCACTACCAGTGTATCTCCACATGAAGGAACCTCAAGCAAAAAGGCAAATGTATTGTATTAGTACTGATTATATAGTACTGATTGTTCTGGGGTTGTCTCCTCCATGGGGACTTTGATCTTTTACTTTTGTGGATTCCAGCGGTGGGGAGGTGTCTTTGGTGAACACGGATCCTCAGAGCATACAGAGCATGTAAGCTGATCTGTGCTGATGCAAGGACTGTGCTCCTGGCATCATCCAGGCCCTGAGACAGTTACTTGGGACCCCTTCTAACCTGAGCTGAGGGTTGGGTGTGTGTGAGGGAGCTTGCTTGTAGCAGGTGAGGATTTAGTTTCTGGTTTCTGTTGCAGTTTCTTTTAGAAGGACAGTCCACGTGAACTCTATTTAGCTGGAGTCACCCAAGGATACTGTCCTGGCTCTTGCTGTCTAAAAGCAAACACACAGAGAATAGAACAACTTGAGACCTTTTTGTTTTGTTTGTTTTTAATTGCGTGGGTTTTTTTTTTCCCCTCCTGCTTTGTTCATTCCTTTCAGTAAAACCATTTTTACATTAATGAATGTAACCAGCTAGAATCATTTGAAAGGGAGTTTTTAGCCCTGTGAACACGGGCAAAATAAAAGACTGCTTAATGCATTTGGAACTAGTGCACTTGCTGGAGGAGAAGGCACAGAAATGAAACCCCTCAGGACAAAATATCAGTCTCAGGTTGCAGTGGGTTAAGCACTTACCTCATTCGTGGATTTGGGCTAGTTACACTGGGGCCAGATCTGTGGAATGAGCCGGCAGATAAGATGATTCACAGTGTTTCTCTGCCAGCACTATAATAATGTTTGAACATCTTCCTCTATACAAATATGCTGAGGGTCATCATTGATAATGCTTGTAAAGTGATCTCAACACATAAAACATCTGTTTTGAAAGAGGTGCACTCGAGGCAGCCCTTCTGTGAAGTGTTCAGTAACCAAGTGAAGAGAGCTGCTATTGTTGGCTTGATTTTCCCGTGCCTTTTTTGTTTGTTCTACAAGCCACTCCACAATACAAAAAAATCAGTACATCTAAGAGTAGGGCCACACACCACAACTACTTTATTCTGCACAGAGCAGTGTGGGATAGGACAGTTAATGGAGATCTTTGTACTTCTTGTAGCCCTGGTGATCCCCGAAGCAGAGGGCCTTGTGCCATGATATGTGTATGCAGATTATTAAATTCAAATAGAATTAGAGCTCCCTGATGTTAAATTTCCAACATTTGAAAGATTTAACTTTTCAGCCTCACTGTATCTTGTTAAAAGTTTTCAAATGTAGCTTTTTGGGGGCAGTTGGAGTAGATATGTTGGTATTTTATGGAAGGGAAATAGCTGTCATTCAGCTGTTGTTTTACTGTTACATACTAATGAATGTTTCTAACTAAATCCTTTAAAATATATAAGCGGATGCTTAATTGCCTTATAATTTATTTTTTTTCCTTTTGTGCTGTAGGAACATCTAGGACACTGGAGTCAGGGTCTAAAGAGCTCCATGCAAGATCCAAAATTGCAGGTAAGGGTTGTACACTTGTACTTTACAGTAGTTCCTGTCTAGCAAAGCTAAATGAGCTTGATTACTCCTTCAGTTTACTTTCACAATCTGGTTAACCAGTGGAGTGTTGCATGAGGGCTGAATTGTACTTGCATCTCTCTCTGTAATAAAATTAATTGGGGGCAATTTTGCAGATTGCAGATTACTGATTTTACAGAGTGTCGTTATCTTAATTATCTTTGAGCTCTCTATACTATCAGATTTGGCCAACAGATTTCAAAAAGGTTGGTGGAAGAGCAGGTGAACCATGCAGTTGCTTTGTTTCCTCAGGGAAACCAACTAAAATGGGGTTGTGGCTTGAAGCAAGTCATGGAGGTTCCCGTTTTCCTGTAGTCAGCACTGCCTTGTTTCTAAGCATAGTGCAGTTTCCTGGTTTCCAGCAAACTTAACTTTGATACCTTTGTGCCAGGGGACAGGATCTGACCTCTGGCTCCTCCTTCACTTGGTTTCTTTGTGCCAACAGGAATTTTTCTGGGTAATTTCTTTTAATCTTGTGCAGATAAGCAGAGTTATCTGTCCCAGGTGCAGAATCAGGCACTTGCCCTTGTTAAACTTCATACAGTTGGTGATTGCCCATCTCTCTGAATTTGTCAAGGTCTCTCTGCAGGGTCTCTCTGCCCTGGAGGGAGTCGACAGCTTTTCCCAGTTTAGTGTCATCAGCAAACTTACTTAGTATTCCTTCAAGTCCTGCACCCAAGTAATTTATGAACATGTTGAAGAGCACAAGATGGAACCTAAGATGGAACCCTGTGGAACCCCACTAGTCACAGGTCACCAGCCTGATGTCACTGCTCTCACTATAACTCTTTATGCCCAACCTGTGAGCCAGTTGCTTACTTAGCTGATAACTTATCAGAAGGCCCTATTTCTTGACTGATGTATTATTATTTTTATTCGAGTCTGGAGTGTTGAAGTGCATACAGTTGTGGAACTGGATGCTTATTGTCCTGGAATTGCCAGCACTTTCAAATGAGTCTGTCTGTAGGGAATGATAAAGTTACTGAAATTCTTACTTACTTTTTAAACATGAAGCTTAGTTTTCATCCCTGAAGTGGAATTTCATACAGCACTTATCAAAAAAGTGCTTTTTTGACCCAAGATATAAGCATAAAATGTAAGAATAGAAAGCTTTTTCCTTCTATAAAGTATGTGAAGAGGGATGCTGCAACACCACGCCATAATGCATATTATGGAAGAGGGCACTTATCCTGAAGCAAAATTTCTCTTTGGATAACATCTCAAAACCCACTAAATACAGTGCTTATAGGATTAATATAGTTAACTTTCAATCAGAAAGTAATCTAGTTGTTTTTTTGCAAGGTTTACAAAGATGAGAAGACTGTGGTCATCAAGGATAAATATCCCAAAGCACGTTACCATTGGCTTATTTTACCATGGGACCCCATTTCCAGCTTGAAGTCAGTCACCAGGGACCATCTTGAACTCCTGGAACATATGCATGCAGTTGGGCAAAAAATGATTGAACAATGCCCTGCCAGAGAGAGCCTAGAGTTCAGACTGGGTTACCATGCTATCCCCAGTATGAGGTAAGACCTGCAGGAGTCATCAGGTGGAGACCCTGTTCTTCCAGTCACACAGATTTGGGGCTCAATCTGTGAGGTGATTTGGCATGGCTAGAGAACAGCTGATCCTCCTGAGCACCACAAACAGCTTGGTGTCCAGGTCCTGTGCAGCACACTGCTGCATACATGCAGATGGGCTAAACAGTGTCTTGTGTCCAGTGGGAGATGCCTGTTGGGTTCCCCTGGCAGAGGGCTGGGGCTGTGGGATGCCTGTGGTCCAGCCCCAGCCAGCTCCCAGTGCCAAGTGCGAGGGCATCCTCATCCCAGGTCACCAGTGTGGCATGAGAGACTGACTCTTGGGCCTGTCAAGTCCTGCCTGATACCACGCAAGGATTTGAGTTTTGTGTGTAAGTCCAGATCCCAGAGCATCCAAAGGCCTGTAAATATTGCAGTCAGTGCTCCTGAGTTGTTCTCTGGTTCTTGAGTGGACCTTCTGGTCACTGATCAAGTCCCATTCAGTTACTCTACAAAGTTTAAATCTTTGGTTTATTAAAACTACTCTCTGCCTTTCTGGAAACTAGTAGGAATATAGACTGTAGTGAGGGGCCAATGGAATATGCAGGCTAGTGACCTTGACTGTTTAAGTGAAATGCTTGGCAAGAGGTGGTGCTTCCAGAACAGACTGTGTTTCTTCTGTCCCGGGACTGAGGGCCAAGACTGACCCACAAAGCTCTGCTGAATCATCAGTTTGCAACTGATACTACTGCAAAAGAACTTGAAGCGTTAACATTCTTCTCTCATATCTGTGTTTTTTTTTTTTTCAGTCAGCTACATTTGCATGTAATCAGCCAGGATTTTGATTCTGTGGCCCTGAAAACCAAAAAGCACTGGAACTCTTTTACTACCGACTATTTCTTAAACTCTCAAGGTAATATTAGAAAAGGTATTTCATAACATGTAATCCTACTTGCAGCTTCTGGCTTTGGGCTTTTTTTCTAAACAAATACGTAAGCCATGCATTTTGTTGCAGAAAGTGAAAGGTTTTATTTCATTTCAGATACTGGGGAGTAGCAGTAGGTAACAGTGCATTTTGTGGCTGGTTTAAATTAGAATGCAGCAATGACATGCTGTGCATGCAAAGCAGTGCACAAAGATTTGCAGTGTCACGTGTTTCATGACGCTATGTGGTCTCAGTACCTCTGGTTTCTTTATTTTTCCCCCAGATGTGATAGAGATGGTAAGAAGCAAGGGAAAAGTGATGGTGAAAGATCATGTGTCTGAACTTCTCAAACTGCCCCTCAGATGCCATCGCTGTAAACAACAGCTGTCCACAATCCCACAGTTAAAGGAACATCTCAGGAAACATTGGCCAAAATGACTTTGCAGAAAATGGTGTCTCAACCTGCCTTTGGATTTCAGGCCAAAACAAAGACTGGGAAATGTAAGTGGAAATATGTGTTTGTTAACTGGAATGACAAATGTAATGTTGGGAAAAGTAGCCTGGAAACAGCAACATACTGACTTTGTAGTAGCTGAGACAAAAAAACACCCCCCCCTTCAAACAAATAAAAACATGAAGTGATTTCTGAAATTGAAGGTGTGTTTGCAGCTTTGCTGTGGTACAGCCACACTAATCTGTACGTGAGCCAAAAAGTCCGGAAGAAGTGTTTTGTTTCCATTAAAGGGTTTATTCTAATTCAGAAGCTGAACTGAGCTCAGATCTAGGTTTCTACTGAGAACGCAGAGAAAAGGATTTAGAGGTCTTTCTAGTCATGTCTGCTGCCTGTCACTGAAGTTTCTCCTAAGGGATAATGTTGCAGGTGCTGGTGTGGCTGACAGAATGTGCTGTCAGTGTAGGGGAAGGAGCATCAGCTATAGCATCCACACTTTGCTGTGCCACTGAATGGCTTGACATTTCAGTGCTGCTGAACTTCCCCTCAGCTATGGAGCAGGCCTTGCCCCTCACCAGGGTGCAGGATAGCCACTGCTCAGGCTTTAAGTGGGGCAGACAATGTCTTTCTTGTACAAAGATGTATTTAAGCATTTTTATATAAAAATACATGCATAATAGGAAATGATCAGCTTTACTGCTCCCCAGAGTAATAAACTATCAAGGTTTGCAGTTGCTTGTCTGCATACGTTGAGTTTGGTACAGAAATTGTGTGGTTTAATCCTGCTCTGTTTCTCCCTATCGGAATTTTGGTGAGCCTCTAATAATTTGATTATTTTCAAGATGTGAATTTGCAGAGAGGCAGCAGAGCAGTACTAATAAAAATCTGTTTCTGGGTCCAGAACTGGTGTGTACAGTTCAATTTCATCCTAAGCCCAGCTCTGACTTGTTAAGTAAGATGCCTTCTGGGTGAAATGGCTTTCAGTAAAAGAGCATGCAGAGCTTTTACTACACAAGGAAAATGCTGCTTCTAACTCTTGATAACGCATTTTGCGGGAAGAGGGTGTCCTCTTCTTCCATCCCCCCATGCAGCTGCATGTTGCTATACACACTCCAATGGGCAAATAGTAAACTTGTTGCTGCTGGAAAAGAACAAAGACATTCCTGTCATGGAACTGTCCCCAGAAATGGGTTCTTTCACCTGGTGTGCAAGGAACTGAGTTTATTTCATGCCAGCGCAGAGATGGGTGCTGGGTGGTGAATCCACAGAGCCAGCACACCCAGTTACAGCCAAGCAGTGTGTTTGTATTTTCAAAATACCGAAGTCTGGAGTTATCCAATTTCTAAATGCATGGCCACTCGATAGCTACTGGACAATCTTTTGCCTGCTTCAATTTAAAGGTACAAAGCATTTCAAATTTATTGTGCATGTTCAGTAGGTAGCTGTTTTCACTTGGACAGGGGTAACCTAAGATTTAGAGGCGTGGCTTTCACATTATAATGAGCTAAGTTCATCTAAAGGACCCGTTTTTAGCTGATTTAGCTAAGTTCAGTAAAACTTACTGAACATTGCCAAGTGCAGTGTCCAGTATCTAATTCAAGATCTCTGTTTGTGATATCTCTTTACTTGTTTCAAACTATTCTGCAACACCTTGCTGTTTCCCACTTTTCTGGGTCTTTAAAATATTTATTGTTCCCTTATGAATCACTCTGCAAGATCTCTTTTTAAACCATTCATCTTTCACCAGAATGGGGTACAGTAAGTGTGAGGGGTTGGCTCTGGCCTAATTTCAAACACCAGTCACACTTAAGCTTTTGCTGACATTATTAATAATATGCCTTAATTTAGAAAGCAAAACTTAAAGAGAGTAAGAAACAATAACAAAAGCACTGCCAGTCTGTGGATTCACTCTTTATACAAACTAGGGCTTCAGCTGGCCCCAGAGATGAAGTAGTGCTGATGTTTTGCAATGGGAACTATTTTGGACCAAGACCAGTTGCAAATACTTGAGAACCATGATCCTCCTCATGGCAGACACAGGCCAGAAGGGAAAGCCACAAGATTCACAGTTAAATGCAGCTGGAGCCACAAGGGTCAGCTCATGTCTGTGACTCAGGGCAGCCTCAGGGCCATGAAGGAAACAAAAGCAGCATTTGTAGACATTGGCACAGGTTACTTCATGTGGCTTTGCAGGGAAGCTATGGCCTTCCCACATCCTCTCATGCACAGCTGGTAAGCCCATACAGGAGACTGAGAGCAACTAAGAAGACATCTTTGTTGGAAAGAGAACTTCAGAATAGCAACATAACCTTAACACTCATCAGCCAGTAAGACATGGCAGTGGTGGACTGAAACTGTCCCAAGATACTTTGGAGTGTATTTTGCAGGTGAAGATTCAGCTGGAGGACTATGCCACGCTGTTCTGGTGTCAGTGTCCAATTACTGATAAGGAGAGAGATGATGAGATGAAGTTTGAAGAATTTCTGCTGTCCTTGTTGCCCACCAGTCTTATTTATCCATGTACTCTTATGGAAAAACCTCAGCTCTTGTGGTGGAAAGGGGCCATGGCACTCTGCATGTGTCTCCCCATCCATGAAGGTTATGTTACATGTAGCATCACTGAGATTATGGTAGCTTAGATGTCACATGTTATCTGGTAAAGTTACTAAATGTGTAGTCACAGTACTTGACAACAGCCTGAAGTCATCCCCACACCACCCAGACAGGCCACATAACTCAGAACAGCTGGAAACAAGAGGCACTCCAATGCTTCACCCTGACAAAGGAGTGTTTTACCATTCCACTCGAACAAGCCCAAGCCAGCACAACACACAGGGCACAAGACCAAAGGGCCATCCTGATACAAGGCACAAACCCACTGATCTGCAGCACTGGATGTGCTAATGCCACGCAGTAAGAACACAGGTCACTACTTTGTCATTAAATACCTCCAGCAGACATGAAGTGCCTTGGTTTTGCTGGCATTTTTCCATAGCACCTGAAAGGGCCTGCATTGAACAGAGCAGCTGTTGGGCCAAAAGTAACTCAGAGGGGGCTGCTACCACTGAAAGGTTTTCCAGCCTTGCCCTCTTCCTCTGCTCCCAGAAGTGCTGCTGTTACTGCTTGCATCAGATTACAGAAGTATTCTTGGGTGAAACCCAACTCTCAGGTACGAGACCAGTTTCCAGATGACACAGTTCTGCAATGGTGCACAGCATTATCAGGGTACAGCTGCTGATCTGTCAGTGCCATACAGCAGCATTAGTCTGTCTTCTTTAAACTCAGATAATTAGTTAGGTAATTATACGTAGTATTACCCATCAGAGCATGACACTGACACCTCCTGCCCTGCTTTTATTCATGTTTTCCTCTGCCTAAGATTTCCCTGGTGTGAATGAGCACCGTTTCAGGACAGCAATGGCTGTTGGCACTGCAGGGTTCACTCTGATGTAACAAAGCAATATTGATGAAAAACTGGTATTAGCAACATCCAGCTTCAGCAGAGAAAACAGTTAATTTGTGTAGCAACTACAACAGTTTGCTATTGGTACAGACTTACTGGTGAGATCTACAGCAGGCTGAAGTGCTTAAAATGTGGCCTGTCATCACGGCATGTACTCCCATCCATGGGAGGGAGTGATGGCAGAGAAAACAGCCCATTCTGGTGGGATTGCTTCATCCAGAAGGGAGGGAACAGTGGTGGGAGATGTTGGATTCAGCCAGCAGCACTCAGAGCTGCACAGCCTTTTGCTCCCCAGCTTCACAAACCACCTCTGCAGTGAGATGTGAGTGGCTGTCCCCATGAGTGTGACACCACAGAGGTCACAGTCACAGCCGCATCAGGTGGAGGGACCCTTCGCTTGCACAGCCCTAAGAACAGGACAGGACAACAACAAGCCAGGACAACAACAGTTTCTGTAAAGATATAATGAACTTATATGAAAAATTACAGTTCAGAGTTCACAGGGATTCCTTGGCTTGCAGAAGATGCAGTTTCCACTGTAGATTTTTACTGAATTTTGGTGGAGTAAGTATGTCTGGATCTGAAAAGCAAATGGAACAAGTGTCAGAACGGGGGGTAACAGCAATACAGGTTCTTCAAGAGCTGTCAACTACTTATTTCACTTTTCTTTACTTCAAAGGACACTGAGAAATCTCTCAAGATCTATCATTTCCCTTTAGTGACTGATCACCAGCCTGCACAGAGGAGTGCTGCCAGCAGAGCTGCTTACACAAGAAAATCTCTGGGGCACATCAATCCCCTCTCAGTTATTGTTACTGTTCAGAAAGAAGAAGCAACGAGCAGTGTCACAAAGCAGAACTCCATTCATTCACCTGTCACTGGGCAATCACACACAACAGCCAGCTCTCTCTGTTTGGCGTGAATAAGAGCCACAAGGTTTTTTCTGGAGCCAGCCCTGGCAAGTGGCAACAGGCAAGTCACATCTAGAGGTTCATTAGAGGATTTCCCCAGGCAATTCCAGGACTAGCAGGGGAAGAGACTGTAGGACTAGTGGGGAAGAGGGAAGACAGGGTAGTTGGGACCCTTGCTAGGTCTCTCAGCCCTAATTTTGCATTAACTGCAAGAACTTCAAGATGGCAAGGTGACATGACAGGCTGTAGCCTGCCCTGGTCAACACCATGGCCTGACTGCCAAAGCCAGATAGAAAAATTCAGCAGGTAAGTTACAAGAAAAATTATTTAACACATTCCTTAAGAAATTAGATTTTCGATTCCCTTGAAACAGACTGACATTACACACACAGGAACCAGGAGCACAACTGAGACAGTTTTAGCACAGGAATTCAGAATAAATAAACCTTGTTAAGATGGCTGCTCACTTGCCATGAGGCAGGACAGTACATCATAAAGAAAAGCAAGAAACGCCTACAGCTGAATAACTGGTACAACTGCTGGCAGGCAATGGTTGGAGAGCCTCAAAGCCCACTAACCTTACTGACATTTCACATCCACACCTAACTCAGAGCCTCAACTAACCTTGTACAACAGGAGGCATCATCCTCTTCTGCTGGTAGGCAGCCATAATGCTGTTTGCAGTTGAATTGGGTCCCAAGACCTGTAATAAGAAGCAATAGCCATGTTCCAACCTGAACTAAGCAAGGCTAAAAGCAGGGATACCCTCAAAGGAAATTCTGCTGTTAGTGTTTAAAAGCAGAAGCACCTGCCTGCAGGAGACCTCAGAGTACAATGTAACCAGGAATGTGTGATCAAGTCCAGTAATATCTCAGAAAAGTTAACATAGAGGAAGAAAGAAAACTGCTTTCTCACAGCTCTGAAGGACACAGAACCCTTATCCCAGCACCGACTGCTTCACAGCCCTGTAAATGTCATGACTTGGCAGTACTAATTTCATTACAGCACCATCAATATTTAAAGTTCTTTTGGGAGTCTCAATTCCCTGTCATACAGAAAAGTGTTAATCTGTCTTTATGAGTCCTGCTGATCAGCAGTTATGGAGAAGATGTTGGGGAACATCTTGTATTCACTGTGAATGCTCAGAAATCACATATTAGAAATAAAGACTTTTACTCTGGAAGGGAACTAACTACAGTCCTAGTGATTTCCTTATTCTGCATTAAGCTGAAGCTTAGAAACCTGACATAAGCCTTCTTTTTGCAATATACTCCTTATGATATACTGGTTCAGACTAAACTGACTGGTCTGGTAGCTTTTCACTTCACAACACCAGGTTGAACAACCACTACTCTTGTACATAAAAGCTATGTTAACACTTCTACCATTAGGCCTGAAAGAGAAAACAGTGTTCCCGTGTTCTACAAATGGCTTAAAATAAAGTTTACAAAAAGAAGTCACCACTAGGACAAGGTAACACAAACCTCAGGATGTCCAAAGTGGCATTCAGTGCAAGGACACAGTAGGCTATACCTGTTGTACACATCTAGTGTGTACTGACTTGGCAGATACTGCACAGAATGTCTACTGAACCTCTACAGAAAAAAAAAAGCAAACCAGATTTTGAAAGCCAGGGAAGGATTCTGGGCTCTTGCTGAGTAATACAAAATACTGGTAAACACTTGGTATTGTATAGCAGGTGTGATAGGTATTGTGGATGAGCACAGACCAGGTCGACAGAGCTCTGATGCAGGTCTGGAGTCCAGATTTCTGGGACGGAGGTCTCCATCAGCTGCAAAACCTCCTCCAGGACTTGCTGCAGTGCCCCAGCTTGTTCATCATAACCAAAGAGCACAAGCTGCTTCAGAAGGATGTGTATATCTCCTGCAGGAGGGAAGAGAAGCACAAGCAATAGCAATTAACGCAAGTATGCTAAATAAACAGCTGCATTTCTTTGCTATCAGTGCATAGGAAGGAGAGTGGCAACTCAGAGCTTGTTCTGTCCCTATCCAGCCCCCACAGTGCTGGAATACAAAAGTAAGACAAACCTTGTCTGTAGAAACAGACAAGGCCTTGCTTCTCTGCTCCCAAATTTCAAATGCAGGGAGCTCACACTATCACATGTTCTTCCAACCACAGAGCCAGAGGAACTATACCAAAGTTCAACACAGATAGTTGTACGGACCAGGCAACTTTTCCTTCCAACACACACAGTAAGAAAAAGAGGGGGCACAGTGCCTCAGCTGTCCTCACAAGCAGAGTGGATTAAGACCACCAAGCGTCCTACCCTTCACAGACTCAACAGCACGAACACTTTCTCCCAGGACTTCCAGAAGGGCAATATCTTCAAAAGGACTCCCCTCCTTCAAGCTGTATTTCTTACGCTCTGCCTTGCGCCGATTCTTTGAGGATCGCCTGAAAAGGAGTGCACTCAGTTACAGGATGCACAACAGGACTGGCTGTTAACAGGGTAAGTCTGAAGGAACATCAACAGTGTGCATGAGACTTGTTATTCAAGTCCTTACTCTCTATAGTGACAGGGGACTGTGTGTAAACTTCAGCACTGTGACAAAGTTTTCAGTGCTACTAAACCCATATCCTTTGTGGTCTGAAACACCAGACAGGAGTCAAACTGTTTCTCTACCACAAAAAAGACTGCTCTGTGTTCCAGCAAGGTTAAAGCATGACTTTAAGCACAAAGCAGTAGTCACTATCAGGCAAAGATGAGCTCCACTTGAAACACTGGTGCCAGGGTTGGCACTTGTGTGTGCACATTTTAATTTTTGCTGTCTCCAGAGCCTCTTACTCATTATCACAGGAAAGCAACTTAATTCATAGGCCAGACTTAGCTGTATATTGTTCCCAAGTGATCAGCACGCTCTGGCACAGGTGTGCTGAATACTAAGGCCACATTCTCTTTCTCTTTACATCCGGTCCACAAAAAAAAAAGTTCCCTAAGAAGCCCACAATTTTTACACAACTGTATTTTTCTACATTTCAGCTGGGAATTCAGAAGTGGTCCCACAGAGTACACCAGCCTGTAACACACCACACCCCACACTGCAGCCCATATTCTTAGGAGCACTCAAATACAACGCAGACGCCCGCTGTGGGAAGACATCGGTATGAGATTTAGCAGCAACCCCCACACACCAAGTGCAGAACCAGGGACAAAGAACACAAGTCATGCGCACAAGCTGTTAATGTTTGAGAGGCTCTGCCTGTATTCTGTGTCAAGCTTTCTACAGCCAGCTATTTTGGCAACATGCCCAACACCCACAGAGCCAGATCCCGCCCAGAGTCTGTGCTCACAGCTCCTCTGCTGGGCACTCAGTTGCACTAGTAGCTTCTGGCATTTTCTCCTCTTTCCCTTCCAGTAGGAGTTAAAATAACTATGAAATGCCTGTAATTAAAGCAGCTTCAAGGCACACACAGCTGCAAGGAGGAGCATTCTAAGCACGAGCAAG